ATAATAGTTAATTGAGAATTTATGAATAGTCTTCTAGTCATGAAATATTTCTTATTCACCAATATTAATGATCAATAATATGCACTAAACGAGAAATTTATTATTTTTCTTTGCAATCATACTTGTTAGTAGTAGTATAAGTCACATATATATATATATATTATACTATTATAATATACTTAATATAGACACATGTGGTGCTAGGTAACTAAATAGATGATGATGCAAAACTACAAATTACTAGTACAAAAAGTCTGTCAGATGTAGGAAAAAAAGTTTTTCGCACAAAAAAGCTAAATTTATAATTAGTTATGAGACAAACAAAACTCTATTATATAATATTATGATCATTTTAGAAAATATGAAATCATCTAACAACTTTTTAATATATTAAAATTCAAACAGTACTATAGGTACATATTAACAAAAATAAACAGTTTTTATACGCCTAAACTTAATAAACTAAAAACAATAAATTGTGTTCATTAGGAAAAATATASCAAAAGATTAACCATTAGATTAATGTTAAGACAGTCAATTAAATGATGGCAAACCAAATACTTCTGGAACAAAATCTTCTATACTGCCTAATACTATAGTTGCTTCAGTACATAAATCTTTTGATAACAAATTATCTGGTACCATCACTACCTGCATTCCTGCTTCTTTAGCTCCTCGTACCCCATTTGGAGAATCCTCAAATACTAAACACTAAAAAAGAAGCAATACATTACTAAGATACTAAATTATAATAATTTTCACAACAAAACGAAACCGTGTTCAGAACTAATTCAGTTGCTGCCGATCATTCCCAAACAAAACACAAATGACCAATGATTACATGGAAGGGATTTTATGGCTGAACAAACTGACGTGAGATAATCCGACAAGCGAAAAACGGTCTTGTATTCTCATGAAAATCAGTAAGGTAACAAATAATAAACATAGAGTATATAAGTACCAACCTTATTTGGATGTGGCTGGTCAGGAAATCTAGAGGCACATGTAAGAAATATATCTGGAGCAGGTTTTCCATTTTTTACCTYTGGATCAGATCCTCCACAGACGATATGGTCAAAAAGTGAAAACAACGATTTATGTTTAGAAGTTTTTAAGTCAAAACTTTTTTTAGTACTGCTAGTAGCTATAGCAAATGGAACTTTGTTTTTGTTAAGGTGACGCACAAGCCGTTCTACACCTGAAATATTATGTATAAATAACTAGGGATGGGCATGAAATCCGAATATCCAAATCCAGATTTAAATCAAATTCTTATTCAGATTTCCTGAATTATCTGGATTTATARATTTRCTTTTATGTGACTTTAAGCTTACAATTACTTTTTATGTATGGTAAAATAAATTATTTTATTTTATTATAATGAAAATTTAACAATAAATTAATACTTAAATTTTATGATATCTTTGGTACTTAAAATGCGTTCAAAATTTGGTATACCCATGGCCGAAAATTATGTTATAGAATTAAAATATCATTAGTTTACAAAAATGAGTTAAAGAAACAAAAAAGAACAGCAAAATTGAGTTGAATAATCCACTCAGATAATCTGTAAAATCCGGACATGCCCACCACTATAAATAGCTATAATATTAAAAGTAGTAACTAAGTTTGATTGTTAAACTAATATGAACTATTTTTTAGATATAAGTTTATAATACTTATGTTTTAAATAAAGGTATTTTTTAGTGTATAGGAAATACATTTTACAAACCTGGCAGTACACCGACATCAGATAAAATTTTATTTTCAAAYGCATGAACCATAATTATATACTCTTCAATCGATATTGGTAAATTTAATTCATTAACTACCATCTTAGCTCCATCAAATTCAGGTGCACCTAACACCCTGTAACGTAAGTCCAGATTGTAGGTTTTACCAAATTTAGATGCCACTGCTGTTACAGATTGCTTGTGTATATTTTCAGTGTCTATATTTACATAATAGTAATAAATAATGAATTATTAAACAAAATAATATAGTGCAACAATGATCAATACCTAGAAGTACACCATCCATATCAAAAATTACATGAGACACGGGGTGTAACTTCTTGGTACTAAATGAACGACAAACATTTTTGACAATTTGAGTAATTTCTACAGGAAATCCTGAAATTTATATAACTATAATTAGTTTAAATCCCAATAGTTAATATGATWGATTAACTTACTCATTTTTGTATGAAAGTTTAAAAAAAATTTACTCAAATCSAAATATTAAATTATCAATTTATTTATTAATCAGTTACAGTCTACAGAGATAAGACTAGATTGTTAACAAACAGCTGATTTATACAAAACACTAAAAACATAAGTCAGCAAAATAAATCTCGTGTAAATCAATTTTAAATAATACATATAAATATAAATATTCATATTTCTATCTTGTTTACTAAAAAATAATTATATATTTAAACAGTTTTATGGATAGTTAAAATTTGGCAGTCAGGGAAACGGAGGTAGCCCAAAATCTTCAGGTTTRAAATCCAACAATGAAGATATCACTTGAGTAGCATGAGAAGTCTTCTCCTTAGGAATTATTTTATCTGGAACCATAACGACCTGCATGCCAGCAGCCTTTGCACCTGTAACTCCATTTGGGGCATCCTCAAATACCAAACACTGTAATAAATTATCAAAATAAATATTTTTTAGCATTATGAAACTGAACATATTATAATATTGCAACAAACATCAAAGCATAGCCTACTTTTTGTGGTGGAGGTTTATCATCAAACCGTGATGCACAAACCAGGAATATGTCTGGAGCTGGTTTTCCCTGTTTTACTTCTGAATCTGCACTACCAAGTACAATGTGATGGAATTTTGAAAAGATGTGTTGATAGTTTGCTGTTTTCACTTTAAAAGTATCTTTACCACTACTTGTAGCCACTGCTATTGGCACATTGTTGGTATGTAGGTGATTGATTAACCGTTCAGCTCCTGCAAATAGTCTTAATATCATTGGTAAACAAAAAATCACACACAAAATAGACTCAAACCTGGCAAAAATGGAACGTTTTCCATTTTGGCAATCTGATTTTCATAGAATTCGGCAAGAAGATCGACTGGATCTATGTCCATTTCCAGTTCTTTTATGATGATTGTAGCTGTGTTGATTGGTATCGTTCCCATAACACGTACTCGCAACTCATTGGAGTAGTCCTTACCGTGATTTTTCAATACTTCGGTAATGCTGGATAAGTACACCTTTTCCGTGTCTGGAAAGCAAAATTTATAACATTTTTACTTTATCCAACAGTATAGTACCTTTTATGACGGCACAGATGCACAAAAAAACATTTTTATTTTTTWCATTAATTTGTGCAATCGAAATTAATTCAGATAGGTACTCGCCTAAAAGCAAACCATCCATGTCGAATATGACATGAGTCACTGGCGTATACTTAGACATAGTATTATTTCGATTTTCAGCGACGCACTTCCGACACACRCGAGCAATGAAAGAAATAAGCAAAATATAATAAGTTCTGAAAGAAAAAAAAATTACAAGCTCTTCGAAAACCAATTGATAAGTCAGTGTTTGTAATCAAAACTATTTCGTTCACCCTATTTATATACGCGAGAATCGCACGCCCAATAATCAATATCACTGCCGCTACGAAATTTGAACGTTTCTACTTTCACCCTAGACCCCACTTAAATAGTATTAATTATTATATTGAAAATTTGAAATTACATCCACTATAACCAYAGAACAATAACACGAGTGCACGACTTGATATTTTGATAATAGCAGCCGGCAGCCACACTCAGCCACAGTTATTTCTATACTCCGTCGTAATCTACATTCTACAGTTCTACACTGTCGTCTGTCAGTCTTAGTAGTTAGTACGTCGTGTCGGCCGTCGGGGCGCTGATCTATATCGTTTTCGTATTTTCGTCCCGGCTCGTTTGCACGTTTGCTACTCGTTGTCATAATAATAACATAATCATTAATCACAATTCACAGTCCTAAACTCCTAACCTTTCGTAGCCTATAAAATTAGTATGATTTAAAGCCAGGGTAAAAGTGGTAATAGCATAATATTTTTATGGAATGATGGCAGGCTGATAACGCCTTTAATTACGGAAAATGGCATAATAATTAATATTATGCTTGCCTTACATCATGTTATAGCCGTCCCGGTTTCGACGGCTTGTAAACTSTAAACAAGACTGTGTATATAAAAATGTTGTATAAATGCATATTTTGTCTGTAGGCCATGGGTGTACCGTGCCCTAAAGCTGAGCAGTGTACTATAGTGTACACTAAATTGCGTTCATATCTCATGTCCTCATGACTAAATCAAAAACACATAAGTTATTCGCATCGAAGTAAAAAAAAAAATTCAAAAGATCAAGACATAAATTGCTCGCGGTGAACGAAAAACTTAATTGCGTGACCATGTCAGTAAAGCGGTTAGCGTTAGCCGGACGCGATTATTAAWAATAATTAACTGTATTATATTGATATGTAAAATACCTACTATGTAAGTCTGTGCATTAATTGATCTCGATGTAAACGACCTTCGGCTAGCACGATCGTTTCACTATTTGTCGTCGTTATGAGTTTCAGAATTTTTGACATCATAATATTAAATACCCCCGCATTAAATACAGAGTGATCCATTAAATTATTTTAAGTGAAGACTCGTCAACACTAATAAAGTATAATAACTAATTATTTCAGTTTTAACATTTTTAAAAAAATATAAATTACTCCAATTCTTATAGGCATAGTTTTTTTATTTTTATTTTTTGAAAGACGACATACATTTTAGATTTCTTAAAATAATATGTTTAAAAATCTTTTTTTTATTGGCTATTAGTGAATACTATTATAGCTCGATGACAATTTATAACGGACAAATAATAATTATATAACAACAGTTAAAGAATGTTAATCGCACACAAGCGATTAAGTGATCAGTTTAAATTTTAAAGTTACAATCAATAATATAACATAATATAAATTATATAAAGATACATTACGAAGACATAATCAATATACTGAAAAAGTAAATAATAATTTATGGATTTGTTACCTTATACCCCTTGAACGTAATTTTTTATTACGAAAACATACTTGAAGTAACAGACGATACAATTTTCAAGAGTACAAT